GCTCACGAACGAATGCTGCTCGTTTCGCTGCAAATGGGAAGCGGGTTTTATTTTCGGTCTTTTTGACGTTTTTTTCACGTTTTTTTCATCATTGACGTCCTGCTGTCACTTTGAAAATATCAGTTCACATCTGAACCGTGCGTTTATACTTTCAAAACAAACCCCCTACCTTGTGCTGTTTCAAAGTAAACATTTTTTCATTTTATTGGGCATTGGCGAAATGTTGTTCCTTTTGTGTGAGTGAATGTTCCCTCCAGATGAAATCCTCCCGACTTATTTCAGAAATTTAATGAATTGCTCTGAAGCAGCCGAATTCATTGCTTATTTTCCTCAACGAATTATCATTGTAGTGCAAATATTTTTCTGTATTATGACTATTGCTACCAACCTATTATTCATAAAATACTGCAAAAGTGCATTGTTTTTCCACAGAAATTGCCGAGTACGTTTGGAGTTACCTTGGTTTTTTAACCACTTTTTCAGCTCTAAAAACCTTCGTTTTTTGGAAAATTAAAACTATTTAGATATTTTAGATACTGCTTTGGATGGTTATTGCTCTCAACATATTGCACTCAATCTTCCTTCTGATATTACAGGTTAGACTTTTTCAATGGATTAATAGCACCTCAGCATACTGCGGTGAGTTCGTCGGGTCTGTCATTAAGTCACGAACGCCCACATCTGCCTCGTGCCGAGAAATGGTTGACGTCAGCTTCTGACAAGGGAGGTCGTTCAGGGTGTGCCAAGCTTTTTCAAAATGGTTTCTTGCATGACATTGGGGCACATATGGGGACCACAGAAGCATGGTTCATTTTTTCCTGAACGGCCCTCTGAATACCAGAAAAGGGGTCCCTAGTTCGATTCCTCGTGGTGACAAATTTTTGCATTTCGAGTTGACGTTTCAAAATTCGCGCAAAATGGAGTTAGCATGAATAATTAGTACCATATTCATGATTAGGACCGTCAGTAACCCTTACAAATAGACTTTGATTGAAAACTGGTGAAAAAGGTGTGACTAGGGACCCCCTTTTCTGGTATTCAGAGGGCCGTTCAGGAAAAATTAACCATGGTTCTGTGGTTCCCGCATGTGCCCCTATATCATGCAAAAGACCGTTTTGAAAAAGCTTGGCACACCCTGAACGACCTTCCTTGTAGGATCTGGATGAGAGTCCACCGTGCGACACTGCACGTTTTGTCGGAATTCATTGCTGGTAAAATACCGTACCCACTCAATTCACATTAGCATATGCGATCGCAGGTCGCGGCAGTGATCAATCAGCCGGCTGGCACCGCAACGCGACCGCGGACGCTAGCGGAATCGGCGCGCAGTCGCAAGTAGACATCGGCCTACGATATGGGGATTTTCAATCTTCGTCTTTCTGGTCTCGTTGTAGTTTCTCTGACTAGAGCCATGATTTTCCTATGCATCTGAGGAAGTTCTTCAAACTAAAAAAAAGAGAATCAGTCAGATGTCGAATTTTTGGATTTATGCCGTCAAATTAGCTGTGTTTGACGCACAACAGCAGGTCGTATAGGTGAAATAAATGACATGGATGGATATAGAGACGTGGTTCAGCTACATTTGCTTTATTACTTCAAACTATACAAAGGGGTCAAATTTGGGTTTAGGACATTGGCACAAATTTGAATTTTGAATTCCCATGCCATTGGCTGGGACGAACATGGGGGTACCTAGCATGGCGTTTAGGCGAAGCACGGATTTTTCCTGTGGTGACAGATGCTATAAATTGCTGCGGAGGAGTGCGAGACGGTGAGATCTCGCCGTCGAGCCTTCGATGTCTGGAGAGTACCGTAGCACTGGACGATGAGAAGTCTATAGTCAGGGAGATACAAAGGCTTGGTAGCCTGGCTTTTTAAATGAAATGCGAGTGGCCAGCTACATAGCAAATTGTGGTTATCTATCTCGAAAAAAGTTGTGCCGTTTGTTACGGGACAACCTATATTGCAATCACGTTGTCTTAATTTTTTGTGGAGGTGCGCTTTCTTCGAAGATTATTGAGGGCTATTCGGTCGGAGCTGCCAGATCCCGTTCCTAAGAAAGAATCGCGTCGAGTGCAGACCACACAACACAAGTGACGACGGCATTCACAAAATGTAATGTTTTACCAATCAAATGATTAGCCGGATGCAGTTGCATTCTATCAGTTGTCACTACTCACAACTATCAACTCCAGCTTTCACCATGAACAACTGTTACCATTTGTTACTTTGAAGCGTCGTCGCTTGTGTTTGGTTGGTCTGCACTAAACGCTTCAGATCGGAAGGAGCAAACGGATATGACAGATTGGCTGTGCACTGATTTCGGGTGCATTGCCCGGCACATCAGATCAAAAGCATCGATTTGACGACAATTATGAATCAGTCTAAAAATTTTGCTGCTAATGGATTGGGGGGGGAGTGGTCAAGCGAGGCGTCGAGGAAAATTCGGAAATACGACCCCCCCCTCCCTCCGCCAGAGGCTGAAGTCTATGAAACGACCCTCTTCAAAAGCCGAACTATGAAAGGCTACATATTTAATTCTTCACCAAAACTGTTCACAAAAAAGCCCTGCTATCTCACCGTTTAACGAAAAATCCGTTCAAGAAGTATAAAAGTGAAGAGTGATCATTATTGATCATTCCTAAAAATGAACAAACGAGAAAAGGAACAAAAAACGGCAAACTAATCACTAAAAATGGCATACTATGACAGCATCTCTTCCTTATTTATATCCATCGCAAGACTCATAAAATTTTAGTATTACACAGGGTTTGGTTCTCAATTTACACGCCCCCTTTTCAGGAAAAAGCCTTGCCAGCTGTGTGTTGACTGATCTTTGGCGTTGACCGTGGAGCAGCTTATCTACTATTGAAATTTGAACAAATATTCAAATGATTATAACTTTCTTCAAATATGACGAATTTTCAATCTGAAAGCAGATTTGGAGTTTTGTGAAGAGCTTCTTTCTAATCAGTATACTGAAATTACAAAAGTTATAAGAAATAACAAATTTAGATCAAATAACGAGGAAAATTCGAGACGAGCACGAGTTTTTACACTTTCCGAAGCAATAACTTGCTTCATTTTCGTCAAATTCAAAAAGTTGATACGTCATACAAAACTAGAAGATTTTCTCTATCAAAAACGGTTGCTAAAGCAGCTTTATACGTCCAGTATTTAAAAAATGGCCACGTTGAGGATTTTTGCAAAATTAACGAGGAAAATTTGATGAGTGCGAGTTTTTTCACTTTCTAGAAGCCATAACTCCGTTCAAAATTATCCAATCCGAAAGAAAATACGCTGTCATAATACGAAGATTTTGCTCTTTCCCGAATTCGAAATTGCTAATACGTCTACTATTTAAAAAATGGCCACGTTGAGGATTTTTGCCCGAGTACCGCCGAAAGGTACTTTTTCGCTACATTAGCACTATCCCAACGACTATAGCTCCTTGCAGGAGCGATTACATACTGAAGTAGGAGCAGATTCAAAATCCTCGTGCTTTTCTCTCTGCAAAAAGTGTAAAATTGTTTAGCGGGTCTCAACTTCCAAAGGTTATAGGTTCAGGAATTTGACGCTGAAAGCTGCGTTTCTTGTTGAATGGTGTACCTCTCCCTGTAATTTTACATGAACCCTTTCAGAATCCTTCTGATTCTTCCTGAAAGGAGATTCTTTCTCCAGAGAGCCGTAGCTGAAGTGCGCGCAACCAACTGGGCCCACTCTGGGATGCGCCGTGTGCTTCACATCCCTTCGGGATTCGAGGACTCACTTGAAAGATAAAATATCCCTTGGAAAACGTGCGAATTTCGGATTCTTTAACTTGTGTGGTGATGAAACACTGAAGTAACTAAGAATTGCTAAGCGGACACCTCTAAATCACGAAGATTTTGTGTGGACGGAATCAATTGTTATTGGAAATACTCTGGCCTGGTATCGATTCGATCCTTGATGTTTGTCCTCCGACGATGATCCTACTGTATCAATCTGGCCCGATCTCTTCCCAGCGGGCCAATACGACCCCCTCTGTGACCTGTCGAGGATTCCTCAACGCACGCTTGACCCTGGGTGGGGGTCAAGCGGCGGCGCGCACTTGCTTGCTGACGCTCTCTCGAAGCGAGATAGGATTATAATTGAACAATTGCCAGCTTTCCACGATGTCAAGTAACTGCCCTCACGCACATCCATGAGCTGTTACATCGGATTTTCCGAACTCTGGCTCTATGATTTATTCGGAAGTTAGGCTGTCTGAAGGAGACGAATCTTACATTTTTATTACAGGTGGTTATTATTGTGCAATTTTGTCGTGTGAATTAAATTTGCTAATTTTAATATTGTAGGTGACGAGGCTCCATCCTAGAAGCAGCATTTCGAAAAGTTCTCAGTCCAGGAAGCAAGCGATTGTTTCAACGTTGTTTGTGAACTCGTTAAAACCGTTCTGCACCGCTCAAGTAATGCCATGTTTTTTTATTATTGGTATAAATACACTAACAATGACTAACACGGTATTAATAATTTGTTTGTCAGCGATTATCAGCTGTTCTTATATAATATGCAGCTCATATGCCAATAACAACTGAAAAAATGGTGGTGGATGTGGTTATCAAGAATTAAAGCGAGGGATTACGATAAGATGGACTGGGTTCATAGTGGAAGTGGAGATGCTGAATAATGCCCCAGTGGCGAAAAAAGCAAAGAAATCCGTCAAGAAGGCGCAAAATGGGACCCTTTCTTTGCCCGTTGACCTCCGATAATGGACGAGCTAGCAACCAATAAGAGGTCTTTGCACATGTTAAACCGATAGCCACCATCATACCAGCAAAGGCCATGCTTTGATTGGTAACGCGTTCCATGGGAAAGTTATAGGATACGCACTCAAAGCGGAATACCTCATCAAAATGATAATCGAAGGGCGCTGCTGCTGGGGAGCTCAGAAAGGAATGGCAAGCCCAGTACGCTGCAGCTAGCGCACCTTTGGCCACAAAAACGCCACATTTCGCTTCCTTCGGCCCCTGACTACTGCTTCCACTGGTGCATGTACTTCCACGCTGCACACACACTTTATCGTAATCTCTCGCTTCAGGCATCGGAACGTTAGTAAAGGTTTCACTTTACGAGCTCGCTGACATAAGAAGGACATAAAACAACACCGATTCTGAGGTTTTCTTTTATTGTAAAGGAGAGTTTGAGGACCTGAAATACACATTCACTAGACTAACAGAGTGATAGTGAAATCTACGACCAGTGGACAGCCTTAGCGTGAAGAATATGATTCCAGGGGCATTTTTTCATAGGGTTTGAAACAGGTCTGAAAAGAGGATGTGCAGCAAAAATCATGTTTTCTTGGCTTTTGGGAGCAGGGTGAATATTGCTTGAGGATTCCTCAACGGCACGTCGAGGATTTTCGCCTGATCCTTTACGTTCTCGCGCGCGGATATTCACTCTCGCCACCCGCGAGCCGTCTGTGCTCTCCGCGCGTACATTCACTATCGGCTCTACTCTCGCACAGCAGAGAGCGATGGTGAGGAAACACAAACCATGTTTCATTTTCGCTGAACGGTTTTAGCAGTACCAAAAAAAGCATAAGGTACTGTTAATGGTTCGATCCCCCGTGGCGACTAAATTTTGCATTTGGGTTGGCGCCTACGGTTTGGTGCCAAATCGCGCTAAATGTCAAAATCAGATGTCATATTCATCGTCAGGACCATTTTGAAGCCAACAAGTGGCCGCCAACCTTGATTGCAAAATTTAGTCGCCGCGGGGGATCGAACCATCAAGGGTATCATTCACCACTTTTTGGTACTACTAAAACCGTTCAGCGAAAACGAAACATGGTTTTGTGGTCATTACATGCGTCCCTACAGCACACACGAAACCGCTTCGCTTTTATTAATCTTAACTTGTTCGCGGCTTGCTCGGAAAGACCTTCCTTGTTAGATCCGCCTAGGTGTCTGTTTGTGTCCAGAACGTGGGATTTTCGAAGGCTTGTTTTGACGGAAACTGAATTTTGATGCATTGATCTTTGTCACGCTGCAATTGGTGATCACGTTTCGCATCCATGTGGATAAGGAATGCAACAGAATTTCTTGCTCCTTTCCTTAGAGTGCCTTATAAAATTAAGGTGTGATAACGCTTTTAAGGTCACTGCACTGACTCTTCAAAATTCTCAGTGCAGCAAAGCCTTGCGACGTGCTCGTGCCACCGCTGTTCTGCTTTGTACTCAGATCGATGGCATCAACATCTTTCACATCCCATGCCTTCATTCATCTCGCAATGGTTACTGAAAGAGCGATCGCTTCGAGACAAATGAGAACCTACGAAAAATGCGATGGTAGAATCGGATATTTCATGGCTGTAACGCAGCTATCGGTAAAAATAATTATTCTTTGCAGTTTTGAGGCCATTCTAGTTTTCAAACCACCAACACTAACATGCTTCTGTGCTTTTCAGGTCATTTTTGCCCTGTCGGTCGCTCTCTATAGTATGCACAAGTACAGCTTCCGTGATGCAACATTCTACTGCTCTGCAGCCACACCAACTACAATGGATGATGTGACATCGACTAGCTATCTGATTGTGGTGATGGAAGCTGTTATTCTGATCATGTTTGTAGTGGTCTACATAGTGAACATGAGGAGAGAAAAAAGGTGAATAGGTTTTAGTAAGGTGCATCCCGCAGTAGAGACAGGCTTGGGTACAGAAAAGTATCGCCATTATGTACACACAGAAGCTACTGGCCGTTTTTTTTGGGGGGCCCACGGGGTCATACCCTATCTGCCATTTGGAATTTTTTACGACCCCCTTCCCCCAAGTGGATTTCATACGACCCCGCCTCGCACACATTGAGCGCATCCACCATCGTCGTCTCTATAGTATTCAAAACGTACCGGTCTCGCCCTAAAGAATTTGGGCACCACTGGATCACTTTTTTAGATTTGAACTCGGCTCGTGCAATTGTGCACTTGCCCAAACCATCTTGGAAAAACCCCTTGTTTTCTCAAGAACAAGCAGCATATTTCTTTTTGCTTCCAACATTGGGTCATCGTTTCACATTGTGCACTCAACTCAATAATTGCGGTGCCTAATAGATTGAATCTGTACTCCTAATCATTAGTCTCTTGCAGCAAGGTTGTGACTCGGCGCATCCTTGAGTATATACAGGGGGGGGGCCAAAAAAAAAAGACATTTTGCCTATGTCGGACTTCGGCTCTTTTTTCTTCGCAGAGATTGCTGTCGTTGACGGGAGTTCCTCAGCAGAGTATTCCCTAAGTGTTCCTCTATTAGTGTACGCAGGCTCTCCTTCACTGCCCTCACCGTCTTCAGAATATGACGTCATCTGTCACCGTCGTCAGGCTCAAGGAGGTCTACCGTAAGAGCTTCAGCCTGAAGCTCTTACGCAATTTCGTGAATCGATTTAATGTTGGATAGTTTTCTAGAGGCATTAGCTACCACTGTGCAAATCCCCTCGGAACTAGCTTTCCAGTAAGGGTCGTTATGGTACACGATCCTTCGAAGACCCCATTGAGATCGACCAGTGCACCATGTTTCCAGGGCTAATTCTTCTGATGCCGTCCACGTACGTGGCCACTATGAAGATTTTCTTATAGAATGGAATGCACTCTTTAATAATAAGTTGGAACCGTTCGGTCTGAGTTGAGTAAAATGTGCTTAAATCCATCTGGAAGTGGAGGCAAAATGTCTTTTTTTTGGCCCCCCCTGTATATAATCCACTTGTCGGCCTTTTTTCGGCGAACAATAGTAATGCACTTTCCATTGGACCGTGATGCTGCTTATATCAACTGCGCCGTTGCTGCCACCTCCGCCTTCTGCAACTGCGGTCGGCCTAGTTTATGCCAAGTCTTCTCATCAATAGTAGACAGCGATGCGCCAGTATCCAATTCAACTGGAATCTTCTTTATATTCACTTCCATCTGTAGCATTCGCGGCGGCTCATCCGCCAACCGGTCTATTCCGCTTTGGACGCGGCATGTAAACAAAATCCGTGAGAAGCAAAAAGATCCAGCATTCTTCACAATATTTTTGACATATCTCTGAGTCGTACAGAAAAAAAACCACCACAAAATCACTCTACATACTCCAGTCTTGCGCTCAAATAGTGTGGTAGACCACTCTAAAGGCATCCCGCGCCTCCAAAGGAATATTTCACGAAAAAAATCATGATTCTATTTCAGCCGTAAATCACTGGCCTGAGACTCATTATCTACGATAAGAATGAAAAAAACACAAATTGCTTTTGTTTTGGTAGAAAGTTCGAAAAATCGAAAGGCTAGTACGCGTTCTCCACGGACGTCTTTCACAAATGCTGGCGACGGGGATGCTTCCACTTGGTTCTTGGAGTGCCTTCACTAGAAACTCTTTCTGGCCTTCTGCTTTATTGCATTCACATCTTACACTTCTACTCCATCCTATTCTATCGATCGATTTGTCTCTACTCTCCGAAATCGCGCGCTTTAACCCGATTCTTTCATTGCGTCGCCTGATACGTAGCCGGCCAAAGGCCAACTTCTTTCCATGCCTCGCCTTTGGCTCCGCCCGAATTACCTTCGATTGTCCATAGAGTGTAGTTTTTGTACGTTTGTTTCTCTTCGGAAACCGAATCTTCATGCGTGAAACTTTGTGTGCTGTTTCCAGTGATCACAACTGACACATTCATGTTCAGAAAGAATGCAAGAATTTTCCGCGAAGGATTCCTTTAACATGCCCGCTCCCGCATGTCCGTGCATATGCTGTACACTCAGATCTATCGAAAGATAGAGAACACTCTCACGTTTTTCTGTAGTTAGGTGAAATTTACCAAATTCGCTATCGAGACAGTCCCCGTAGTCCAAACCTTAATGAAAGAAGTGTCAAACAAAGCGGAGCAGGCTACACACAGAAATCCCGCTGAAGCACCTTGTTTGTTTCCCATCTCTTTAAGTCGGCGCTATAATTGTTCCCATTTCTGAACAGCACAAATAACTCCAAAATAAGTGGTTTTTTTCTGTAGATATTAGGTTGTCTCATAAGTAGTGGCGCATTTTTTCAAACGGAAATTTTTCTTGTGAACCTCTAATGTTTTACAATGTTTCATATACCATTCGATAGGAAATTATCTGCTCTACAAGAAGGTATGTACCCTTTTTTTGATTGTTGCAAATTGTTTGAGTTTTAGGCATGCAAAGTGGGAGGTCCGGACGACGAATTTTCGCCAAACCGACAGCTGACCTAAACTTTATACTTCCCTAGAAGAAATCAATCAATAATGTAACTATAACTTACTCATAACCTCTACTAAACATTCCACATTTAGGTTCCCTAAAAGCTTGTCTCGTTTAATTTTGAGATTTAGTTATTCCAGTGCAACTCGGTGGTTGCCTGCCGGCTTTTGTGGCACTCGATCCTTGGTTGAAGGTGAACAGCAGAAGGTGCCGGAAGTGTTCCTTTTCGTCGACTTGACATACCACCATTTTCTATGCTGAAACTCGACCAGGATTGAAATCAAAACCAAATTCTGCATGCGGGTAAGTAGAGCAGAAGAAACGCTTCCTACAGGTGTATAAAGTAGCGTCAATACTGAGGAATTGGAATGGAAAATATCAGTCTGAAGGAAGCCCTATGGGTTGACAGGCAACCACCGAGTTGCACTGGAATAACTAAATCTCAAAATTAAACGAGACAAGCTTTTAGGGAACCTAAATGTGGAATGTTTAGTAGAGGTTATGAGTAAGTTATAGTTACATTATTGATTGATTTCTTCTAGGGAAGTATAAAGTTTAGGTCAGCTGTCGGTTTGGCAAAAATTCGTCGTCTGAAGCTCCCACTTTGCATGCCTAAAACTCAAACAATTTGCAACAATCAAAAAAAGGGTACATACCTTCTTGTAGAGCAGATAATTTCCTATCGAATGGTATATGAAACATTGTAAAACATTAGAGGTTCACAAGAAAAATTTCCGTTTGAAAAAATGCGCCACTACTTATGAGACAACCTAATATAGTTTCAATTCAGCCATCTTATCGTATATTTTATAAGAATTACTAATTGCAGTGCGGCTGTACAACCTATGCTGTAAGTATCAAACCAGGGGAGAACCTGGTCGTACTTCGGCTGCTTATGCCGATGGTCCTCCTCCATTTTGTGATTTATTCTTGCTTCATGACGGCGTGTGCTATTGCTGCGTCCATACGATACCTTTTCAGTTCTGGATCCGCGTTCAGAGCCTATATAGCAGCTGTTTATGTGAGTGATTTTCTCGAATACCTCGGAGGCAGAGGCCGCCACATTAAAGGCCGATGTCATAGTTTGCGAATCGAGCGATTCGCTAGCGAATCGCTAGATCCGAGCGTTGCGCCAGCGAATCGAACGTTGCACCAGCGAATCGAACTTTGCGCCAGCGAGTCGAACGATGTACCAGCGAGTCGAACTAGGTACCAGCGACTCAATAGTGGCGGGACCCAACGTTTAAAGGAAGCCCGCCACTTTCAAACAGTGTCACGTGACAGTGGACGCTGTTTGAAAGTGAAAGTGGCGGGCTTCCTTTAAACGTTGGGTCCCGCCACTATTGAGTCGCTGGTACCTAGTTCGACTCGCTGGTACATCGTTCGACTCGCTGGCGCAAAGTTCGATTCGCTGGTGCAACGTTCGATTCGCTGGCGCAACGCTCGATCAGCGATTCTATAATATGCATCGCCGTTTATGCACATCAGTACTTTGCTCCCCCATGAACCGACTTCCGTTAGTTTCATTAATCCGCAGAATGTGGTATGTCGACAGCTTCAATTTCAACACAAACAATCAGATTCTAATAATCTAATCTAGATAAGCCTACCTACTGAACAAGTAATCATCAATTACGAAATTTGCATGCAGTTTGCGCTTCAGACTTCGAGTTTCTTTGGCAATCAAAAACAAACCTATTATCGGAAAATTTTCCTAATCAACACGTCTAGTAGCTCGCAGAAATACGTACGAAACCAAGCTAAACACTTATTGGACCTATGAACCGTAGTAACAAGAACTAAAACAACAACAACTAGAACAAAACTTGAAAAATTTATAATTGGTATAGGGAGAACGAAAGCTCCCGCGTCCTTTCACTCGCATGCAATGTGGTCGCCGTAGGGAATCACGAATTCCCCTATGAGATTAAGCATCGCCGATATGCGCGCGCGCAATACCGGCCAATGAACAGACTGTGAACAAAACGCCGAAATCGGCGCGGCGTCCAGTGTAAAAGACGAAGAAATTTGTGATTTTGAAAAGAACTGAAACAACATATATATTAGTTTAGGCGCTGATTCGTGTTCGCTTCACCATCGACTCGATGGCGAAACGAATTTAGACGGCTGTAACAAAACTGCTGACGTACGCGTCGAAAAGTTCTTGCTTCTTAAATTTATTTATTTATTTCATTACGTTGCATAAGGCACTAGTGGAAACATATTAGGTACCGGATATCTTAGTGTCGTTTTTTCACCGCGAGTTTCGGACCACCAATATTTTAATTCAGAATCCGGGGAGTGAAACGGCATATCCATCGAATGACTCATTAGCCCTTTCCCATTTACCAGTATGAGTGGAAACCTCGTACGATTAAAGCTAGGAATTTTTTGAGTCGAAAAAGAGAGGTAGGTCGTTTTGACATCATCTGACAAATCATCCCTCTCACTTGCTAAAAAGTTAGGCCTGGACAAAAGAAGTATACAGTTAGTTAGAGTAGGGTCTGCACTGTATGGTGGAAAAGTTAAAACTTACCAGCTCAACTGGACAATTTTTCCCGGAGTCTTTTTTGCCACATAGGGTCAAAAACGCACCCTTTTTGAGCACACGTGAGTAGCAGATGAGCACATTTATTAGAATTTCTTGTGCAATCAACTTCGTTGAAGCGTTTGTGCATCATCGATCAGTCACTGCTAAAGTGTCCTACCATTTCAGCACAAGACTGGTGCAGCCCCGTCTCGACTGATTTAACTAGGGCCACCTTTTTGACGACGATTGCGGGCATCACTTCAAAGACTTCACTGTCTTTTGAGAAAACTGTGAAAAACCGATGAGCATTTTAAATGGTAGTATTCCCTCCACAAATGCAATGTTGGTTTGGTGGGCGGAAGTTGTAGCTCTCAGCAAGAATTTTGAAGCATTTGGTACACACATGCGAATTTGCACACTGGACCCAGGAATTTTCAAAAAAAAGTATAAAAATTGGGGGAAAGTTAAATTGTGAACCAACAATAGAAAACAATAAGCAACATATTTCGCAGTATTAATGAGCAAAAAGGGCCTTCTGAGATATTGATTTTCCATAGTAATCGGCCCCAAAACTTCCTGAACTCAGAAAAGCGACACTAAGATATCCGGTACCTAATACAATCGAATAATCATTCAAGATTGCATTAAAAACTCATCAGCATCTCAATTGAATGACAAAGGAAAATTCATCACATCATAAAGGAAGTCATGTGTTTGTGTTCGTGTTTTTTAAACACCACAATGTTGTGTTTGATGTTTAAAAAACACTATTCCCAATTTTTAGCGGTGTAAAAAATAAAATTTGGCCCCCTTTTTGTGGGCGCACTATCGGTAAGTTTTCGCCCCCTATAGTTGCTTGCGCCTTGTCGGTGCGAACACGCAGCGTGAACTTTTTGCACATACACGAACGGATGGAGATGTTAGTTATGGGTGGCGGCTGCGGCACTTTTCGAGACAAGTGAAATCTACTGTCAGCACACTTGAAACTAACAATGAAGATTTCTCCTGAGAAGCTCACTGCACTAGAATGTATTTTATGGGAAGAGTCCGTGGAGAGGTAGATACAGGCCTTAAGATATTCACAAGGATGAACCGTGCAGAAAAACATTTGTGGTTGGGGTGGGTCGCCGCCGGTGTCTAACTGGTTGGGGGGGGGCACACGGCAACGTGCACTCGGGGAATCTGTGAGCAGGGGGGGGGGTGTAAAGCAGTCCGCGGGGTGGGAGGAGAGCAGTCACTTGACCATGCGAGAACGTCAATGTTCGATTCACACGATGCTCAACTTGAGAGAGCACCAAGGCGAGCAGAAGTGCCGGCCGCCACGTGATCCCCCCCAAGCATGTCCCTGCGTTGCGCAGTTTCGCCCGATTAGACACGTTCTCTCGCGCGAACATTCACACTCGCATGCTCGAGCCGTCTGCGTCTCCGCCCATACAGCGTGCGTTGAGGATCTCTCAACGTGCCGTTGCGAACTGCGCAACGCAGGGTTGACTCTGCCTCCAACGCCACCCTTCGCAGCGCGATCGCTTGCCCAACGTTGTCATGGACGTTGCTGAATCCGTGGAATGTGCAGAATTGCACATGACTTCATAGGTGGGCACCGTTAGGCCATGTCACAGTTTGCGAATCGAGCGATTTGCTAGCGAATCGCTGGATCCGAGCGTTGCGCCAGCGAATCGAACTTTGCGCCAGCGAAGTCGAACGATGTACCAGCGAGTCGACACTGTTTGAAAGTGGCGGGACCAACGTTCGAAGGAAGTTCCACTTTAAAGGACCACACTGTTTGAAAATGGCGGGCCTTCCTTTAAACGCCAACCGAACAGTGTTGAATCGCTGGTACATACATATTTCGACTCGCTGGTATATATAATTCGATTCGCTGGCGCAATGCTTGGATCGAACGATTCGCTAGGAATCGCTCGATTCGCAAAATATGACAGTCAGCCTAGAGGGCAGCGCGTGTCCCGCACATGGCGCTGCACCTCTTATCGGTAATGGAAGTACTCGTAGCCTGAAATCCGTCTCGCGTCGCGTTTGAGTGCTGAATAAGGAAACCGTTACATGAAACAATCTCGAGTTGTCCCGTTGCTTCCTCTTTTAGTTCCTCAGTTGCCACTACTGATTAGATTGTGTTGTCTATGTATGTGAGAAAGTGCTAAACAAAAAACGGAATCTAATTAAATGTCTCGTTTTTTGTGACGCCGTAAAACTAACGAACGACGTTTAACTCCCACAATCTAAATGAACTGCGGTTTGTGGTGTTACAGAAAACGATACCCCTTAGGCCCCTAGCCTCATGAGCATAGCAAAAAGAACGGAACATAAGCGTTAGTTTCGATAATACTAATCCTACACACAAAACAATCACTCTTTCCGTGGAAGATTCCTTTAAGGTATCGTTTTCTGTGGTAATGAGGGCGGAGCTTTTTCGTGAAAGATTCCTTTAAGGCAGTGATCACATCGCGCGTTTTTCATTTTGAGGCCGTGTGGGGACCGGCGCGATTTTGCAGTGCGTTTCCGAATAGCCTAAATACCGTGTCTTGATCTGAAATTACGGCCAATTTTTGTATTCGACAAAGCTTTTTCAATGAACTTCCAATGTCTATCCTACGGGAGTAACATAATGGGAAGCAGACCAAATGACGTGTTAATGCCATGAAAAGGCAATTTGACTTACTTTCCCGCTGCATGTACGAAACTTCTTTGAACGTGGCTGTTCAAGTACAATCACATATGATAGCCATACTCACAAATGGTTCCTATTCACACTCCTATCACATTTCCTCTCTGTGTGTTGCCCGGTAATGCAAAGAACATGAAGAGGTGAACTGGAAATTTCGTAGTAAATTTATTAAGTAAGAAAAGCTCTGCCGGATACTCCCAACACTTTGTCATGTCTGTTACCCGAAGTGTTCTTTATAATTATTTTGATGCATGGATTACACAAGGGACGCGGAAGTGTGTAGTGGCAAGTGGCCACGCTTACCACGCGATCGGTCCTGGGTCGTGAGTCGCCCGGGCCAACCAAGCCTTCCATCCCTCCGGGGTCGGTTAATTGGTACCAGACTTGTCTGGGAGGATAAAAACACTGACTTGTACATCGGCTGGCCCCCGCAAGTCATTGTATAGGCCACATCGCATTCAAACGCCACTGCGAATGTACAAATGGAAGTAGAATGCGTGCCGCATCCCAAAAGGGATTGATCAACGGCAAATGCTTTATTTTTATTTTTTTTGTCTACAGAATGAGCACAAAAAATTGGACTAAGTCGAGCATGGGCAAAAAAAACAAACATAATGGATATGGCATAGATATCTGTCAAAATGTCCGACGTGTTGCAAAAAGTGCCGTTGCCGCGCTGTCGTCAAGGTGTCAAACAGCCCGATTACGGTGCGCCCACTAAAGCTTCGGCCTGTGCGTTTATCACCTCCTACAATTTGTTTGTTTTCGATGCAATCCTTCCAAATACTAATAAACAAAAACAAATTGGACTCAAACAAAACGTGTCCTGTTTCGTTAGCAAATAAACTGTATCAAAAAAAAAGTTCATTGAAGCTAGTGCCACCACTGCCTCAAAGTAAATATGCTGCTGGAAGCATGATTATTTATTGATCCATTTTTCATAGGCTCGAGGGTTTCATAAAAAACCCAGGGGCTTAATATTTATATTTAGGCCTTTTTTCGATCCATGACATTTCCAGATTGTGCCCATTTATACACGGTCTCTTCTCCTTTGCTGTTGTGGTGGATAGTGAAGCATCATCGCAAAACCCGTGAAGAACAACTCAATCACATGTCAGTCAAACCGAAGGATGAAAAGGATATTTATTTCTCGAGCTATGCAGCTGCATGGAATCGTTAATAAACATATCTACGATTGCAAGTTCTACAAAGAGTGCTTGAAACAAAAGTCGTACAATGGGGATATCACTCGTATAACGCAACATCTTCTCCGACCACTTATATTCTAGATGAGTCACATGTCGAGAAATTGGCTGAATACTAATCCCAAAGGGCTGACATGACCCTCAGCGCTACCCATAGGATCTGTAACTCGTCTTAGTCAACCCATCACGGTACTACATACTTCTTTCTTCCCCTTCATCCCTACCTAGAACTACGCCTGGTTTTTTCCACAAAAAATATCTGGTTGTGGAGGAGATGGGGTGTGTACAGTAAAGTGCGTTTCACAAGTATTAACTTGACCTCAAACTCCGCGTTTCGAGGATAAGCTACGCAGTTGAGCCTTTTCCCAAAAGATCTTTAAGCAACAGTCCCAGCAGGGTGGGCGTGGTCGGAAACGACTGCAATCCCCTCGGCCGATTCCGACCACGCCCACTTCAGCTCCCTCCCTAGCGGCTTTCCAAGGTGAGTTTTTGTTCAGTCACACTTCCTACGTTCTTGACTAGGGGCTGAACAGCTCCGAAGTGGGAATCGGCCGGAGGATTGCAGCCGTTTCCGACCACGCCCACCCTGCTGGGACTGTTGCTTTAAGGAATTCCTCAGCTCAAATAAGCTCCATATCCAATTTTTGGTAACACCATCTTTCCAAATCTGTTTAACTTTTTAATTTTTTGCAGTCCGACTTATATATTATGTGTTCCCAACCTGAAGTGTGCGCACTTTAATTAAATACGAGAGTTATCACGATAACTCCTGTGGAGAAGATAAGGAAAGTTGCGTACTGGATTGGATAGGGGTTCTGTCAAATGTGCGCGCGAGGAATTTCATCCATCACATTAAAGGAATCTTGCGCGGAAAATTCTTGCACTCTTTCCTAACATGAATATGTCAGTTGTGATCACTGGAAATAGCACACAAAGTTTCACGCATGAAGATTCGGTTTCTGAAGAGAAACAAACGTACAAAAACTACACGTTATGGACCATCGAAGGACCAGGAGGCAGAGCCAGGCGAGGCATGGAAAGAAGACGGCGTTTGGCCGGCTACGTACCAGGCGACGCAATGAGAGAATCGGGTTAAAGCGCGCGATTTCGGAGAGTGGAGACAAATCGATCGATGGAATAGGATGGAGTAGAAGTGTAAGATGTGAATGCAACGAAGCAGAAGGCCAGAAAGAGCTTCTAGTGAATGCACTCCAA